CATTAAAAACCCTTTACTGTTAAACTCCACAAGTTTTCAAATTGGAATAATCGTGCTTCCAACTGAGGAACACTGTAACATTTGGTTACCAAAACTCTTTCGAACGTACGTTCAGTGCCACAGAAATACAGATTCGGAAAAAATACTAGTATGTAAAATGTTTGGCCGGATGACCAATTCCGATTCTTCATCCGTCGTCTATAGGTAGGTGAATTTCACAACCTATGAAAGCTAAAAACATCCTTATCTTCCAACGGAAAAACTTTCTTGCAAAAAATGCACACAACTTTGCGTCGCAGGACCAGCAATTCATGGGTTTGTGGGTTTTTAGAGTGACTTGATAAGCCTTTATTGTGGTTGACCTCAAGTAAAAAGTGGTTTGCTGTTTACTCTGCTCGACTGAACTCCATTAAATGTCCACTGACTACACAGTTGAACGTGTTGGCATTTCAACTTCAAGCTATCATTGAAGTTCAACCTTGGAGCTCTGTTCAGAAGTCATCGTTTATGTATCATTTGATAAAGTTTAAGCGCTATGTTCTAGTGTACACCATCTGTAACAAGGATGACCCATGTATAACACCTAATTTGACTTGGAAGTCACTTCTTCAACGGTGGACATGACGACTACACAGAACATCCCCTTACAGTGTCTCAAGATACTTGGTTATCTAATTCAACACCTAAGGGATTCGCACAAAAAAATCACCAGTAAAATATGCTATAATATAGCAAATTCTCTGGGTAATATTATTTTCAAATGGTAAATAACAACACAACCTTGAGGGCACGCCTATCATTTATAATCCCGCAGTGTATCTGAAACGTCTGAGATTTTATAGTGTTGCAGAGTTTTGCTTCCACCGAGTATATCCGAAATTCGCCTTTTGTTCCTGATTTAAAAGCTCAAAGATGCGCGCCCTCTAATTTCTCAACTAAAGGTTTTGCGTCGCGGGCTTTCAGTTGGGTGATCCTCTAAAAGAAGCGTCAACAATTTTACACCAAAGCTGGAATTGAGTCTTCTTTTAAATTATGCTGTCGACTTAAAGCAATGTGACTTCCTGTAACTTAGGTGACAGCCAACTAGAGGAAACGTTTCAGGCATTTCAAGTTCCTAGTAACGGCTAAATCGGAGCGAAACAACGTTGGTTTTCTGTGTGCAAGATATCTAAATCTCTTTACAGAGCAAAACAAAATGAAATAAGAATTTACCTTAGTGCAATTTCAGCTTTTGGGTTTGACCAGATACCAGACCCCTTCATTACAATCACGTTTAAGTACGTCGTTTAGAACAACGGGCGATGACAATGACTTCCTGGACAAAAGGAGTGCACTTTCTGGGTGATTCTTCAAATATATTGATGATGTTTTGAATTGATACTTCCAAAAAATGGCATATCAATATAGATACAAATAAAGTCTACAATCATTATTTTCACACAAAAAAATTGGGTAATTGGTTAAATTATGAATGCTTAGGTTGCTCAATCAGATTTGAATAGGAACAGCAGTTAGCGAATATACACACATTTGCAAACTAATTTGGTTCTTTCGAAAGACTCACCTGGAACCCAGCAGAATCTCTTGTTTATGGTGTTCTCAGGCAACCAAATGTGCTGCACAAGGCCGCCTCATGTTTCAGTCGCTACGATATTTGAGATATCGCGATACCTGAGAACATCACAAACGAGAGATCCAGGTGATTCTGTCGAAAGAACCAAATTAGTTTGCAAATGTGTGCATATTTGCCAATTTCTTACAATCTAGTTTCAAGTAGGGCATAGGGTTGATGGAAACCCGGGGACTGCCCCTACCTGATGAGCCCAAGGAAGGGCGAAACCGGTCATGGGCTGTTGATGAATTTTCAGCAACCTTATGAGTAGTGCATTACAAAGAACAGCCGTTAGTTGCTCAAGTGTGGACGTTTCTAGCGGACCTAGTGCTGCCGTTGTTTCTAGCAACCTACCAAAGTTTCATGAAACAGGATAAAAGAAAATATACTAATTTGGTGTATGGATACTAACAAAACGCTACAATCCTCTTGTGATATACAGGCCACATTCCAGCTCAGGATCAACCGTCTTAATATTTTTCGGCCTAGTAGCAGTCTTCTGCGCAGAAAAGCATAACCTATTCCCTATACATAAATTGAAAATATCTTACGCCATTTACTCGTAATTTCCAGGACCACCTGTGAATTAATTTACGAACTTACGTTGCATTCGTTACTTGTGCAAACAAACAGTATGATTCACAATGCCCGTTATCAAATCGTCCTACGAGAACGGTTACAGTATGGAAGTTGCCCCTTGCTTCAAGGGCTGCGAAACTCATGAAAAAATGAGCTGAGCAAAGACCGTGGCACTACCTGATAATTTGTAATTTGCTCGTTAATACCTAAGGCAATTACATTCCACCCCTGTATAAGCAAGCTCGAGACTGTTCGAGACGAACAAACCCAGCAGTAGGTATTGGACACCATTTTAAGCGAATGTTTAAGGTTTTGATTCGAGGACTGGACTTAGATGAATCAAGTACTATGTGAGCACAGTTTATCAATGATATTTGGATCTATGATAGTCAAGAACCACAGCTTTAACGCCAAGGATGATGAGCACAATCCAGAGTTTTTCGTTGCGTGATGGACTGTGCCGCATGAGATGATGTCCGATCCAGCCAAATCACCTTGGTTGATGATTGCAAATGATTCAAAGACATTGCAGGCGGTCGGTGGGTTTAGCATCATCAAGACATTTAGTTTGTCTGCCAATAAGATAACTAGCTAAGTATTTCAGTTAACTGGAAGGAAACAGTAGCCTTTTTGGCGGTTTGTGGAAGCGCTGATGAGAGATCTGGATGTATGAACTAGTAGTGACCCGATCACACCATACATTTAGCTGCTTAAGAACACGATGTGTTATGGAAAACAAGGCTTACTTGTACAAGAGAACCTAATGAATTTCTGAGGTAGTTGATGTCATCCTCCATAGGATCGCTTCAAAAACAAGGGGCGGTTGTTCTTGTGTGCTAAAAATGGGCAACACTCCATTGAATTCGATAAAAAAGCTAGCTATTAAGGTGTTAGTGTGTCTATGCAGTTCTATTCACATGTAAAATAATAGACTTGTATACTCCATAAAATGCTAATTAACGCCGATAGATCCGGCTTTAACCTCTTAAATTGTTTGGTTTTGGCCTTATTCCAGTTTGTTTTCTCAGCTTGGCAAAATTACCCAATCCAACGGCCCAGCACAATAATTTTAAGATTTCGGTCGTAAATTCAGAAAACGAATGGATTAAAAGGAGAATCATCTAACATTTAGTCGCAGTTCATAAAATTCCTTTAAACAAGCTGTGGTGGCATCACAGTGGCAGTTGACATAGAAGGTAATATATAGAGCTTCATGTGTCCGGGATAATGGACCAGTCTTAAGGTTTCTCAGCCTGAAATTTCGATAGTTGCTCGTGCGCGCTGCTCCATTTAAAACTTTGCTTTGACGTTTCACAGCAGTTGGTATATAGCTGTTTTACTCCTGCTCCTGTGGACTCAGCACTAACTGTGTTTCCATTTAATTAGCCATATCTATCGTTATTCAGAATCTACAAGGTGGCGCTGCTCCAAAACCGTATGGTTACATTTTTGCAAACATGAATCACATAGTCAACTGAACTGCTCCGTCGCCTGGTGTAAAAAGGGTCAACCTTTCAATTGTTTGAAAAGATCGTTTCATGTACCATTCTGCATTACCTGTCTACATTTGAACTTTTAAGTCATGTGCTTTTTCACGAATTTTGATTTCTATCAAAATAAACTTACTGCGCATGCGTAAAGAATGCTGAATGCATCCACAACCAACTGCGCCCACCTCATGCAATATATCATTTTTGGGGCTTAGATCTAAGCACATGGTTTAGTTTATATAGATGCAAGGTCAGTAATCACAGCTCTCTTAGCTATCACCAGAAGAACTAATATCATCCAACCTCAATAAGAGATTAAATTAGACTAACAGTTCATTGCGAGTCTGTGTCCATCACTGTGTCTAAATAGAACTTTGTCGTTGGCAGCTGACTCCAGTGGGTTAAGAGTCAATCAGTTACATGACAAAGACAACACAGACTATAAAAATAAGACTCACTATTGAAGGCATCCAAAACCTGCAGCGGCCTTCTAAATTTCGACCCGAGAATTTTATAACGAGTGGCTGATTAGATGCGGCTACTGGCGGGGCTAGAATGACCGCCGTCACCAATGATTCACGCTTTAGTTAATCCATCACACCTAAATATCCTCTGCGACACTTTGTGTTATGCGACCTTCTCACTTTTGAAGCCGGCCGATAACAGATGACTAATATAACTGATCAACAAGGCACCAGGTTACCCGGAGCTATCATTTAAAACACACAAACAAGCGTTTATCGTAGTGTTGTGAAAATCCTGTTAACAAGTAACCAAGCCCATAATGGCACTCAAAAGTAAGTAACTTGTCATGCGCAGTAAACAAGTGTTTCCGCCATATTTAAAGGCAAGTTTCAAGAACCAGTTTCGGTTTTTCTACAACACGTGTTGTAAACTTACCCTAATCTTCGTCAACATCCAGTGACGACCGGTCGTTTGTGATAAGTGATTGCGCAAAGGCATGCACTTTTGATACTACTTTAAGCTACAGGCTCTAGCTTCCTTGCAACGGTAATATCATGCGAAATCAGGGACACTCTCTCATCTCCGCTCCGTTTTTCAACCTCACGGTGTTATTTTGCGTCTTTTTTTAAATGGGTCGGGTTACCATCCTTTCAGCATTCACATTTTATTGTTCACTTTTACAGAGTTATCTTAATATCAGTGGTTTAGGCACCAGAGAGAGCCTAAGCAAACCTAATCTAATGTCAATCTCCCCAATACTAGCCTGTACTGCAAATTAAACGAACTCAGCATATTGTGTTTCAGCCAATCACTGGTTAATTTCCAACGTAAAATTTGATAGTTCTGCAACTTACATGGCTATCCAGTACCATTCGTCACGATCCAGCTCCGAAGGATACAAGTGACAGATGCTCAGAGGCTCAAAAGCTACCACCGATGGATGTCCTGAAGGCAAATTTAGAAGCGTGACAATTGATTTAGGGTAATTTCAGCCTTACGGAGACTGAATATGTCAATCACGTCCGCGAGACCACAAGATGAAGGCACGCACACTCCAACATTCACACCAAAGGGCTGAAGTAATTGGAGTATTTTCGAATAAGCGTACCACAATTCGACTCTCTGGTGTTCCATATGGATAGAATAGAGAACAGTAGCGTCCTTGGAAGGATACGTTTTGAGAATTCCGGTAGAGCTGCAAGCAGAGCTCATAGCTCCCTGGCCAGATCACTGCACCACCCGTAACACCTGGTTGTGGCTTTCCAGCAGCATCTGTCCCTAAAATAATAGAGTGTTTGCGTTTTTTACGCAATATTGCGGACATACACGCGATCGCCCATTTTTCCAGCTTCACCAAGCCACGCATGATTGTTTTCATGTCTCTGGCACACGAATTGTTTCTCGCTATGTCAGTCACCCTCAGTGTGGATGTCCAAAACATCCCATAATCTGCGTTCAGAAGTATAAGCAATTGATCATCCAAAAGCATCTCATCTAAAGCTTCGCGAAATTCTAATAGCTGCTTCGCGGAAAGTCTTGCAAATGTTGATGAGTGATTTAGCTGTCTTGTCACGACCTGACTCATCAGTAACAAGAATGCATAATACGTAAGCATTGCCTCCACTCATACAATTAGGTCACTTGATTCGGTGCACGAGTTCCGTGCATTCAGTTGATCCATTTAAACAATGGAGACAAGGTCAGGCTACCAGTTCGTTGGTACGCGGGATTGTAGTGGATAACGGGTGCACGAGTCCGTGCATTCAGTTGATCCATTTAAACAATGGAGACAAGGTCAGGCTACCAGTTCGTTGGTACGCGGGATTGTAGTGGATAACGCTAGCAAATACCAGTTCAAAGTAGTTAAATCAAGTGAGTAAAATTAGACGAGATGATACAACTCACAGTTCGTCGGTACAGTTAGTTATTACCACCACAATAAATCCAAATCAATCTCCTTCCTAGAATCTTCCTTAATGTAGTCCTAGATACTTTCTATCCCGTCGTAGTCTGAAAGGTAGATCACCGCTCGTTAATTCACTGACAGCGTAACTCGACACAGCAAGAAGGGAACACGCTTTTCACGAAGTACAGAATTTGTATTGTGTGTATGCATCCATATTTCTTTTGCTTTCATTTAAACAAAAGTTATTCGGTATGAAGAGAAGAGGTATAAGCTGAGATTTAGTGAGAGATAGAAAGTGGTACAATTTGAGTAACGATAAGTTACAAAGAAAGTGCTAATGTACAATGGGCAGAAGGATCACCATAGAACTCCCCCCTAGAGCGTTGCATAAACCAAATAAACGCTCGACAAGCAACGCTATGAAGATATGTAATTGTGCAGCTTTGCTGGCCACGTTAGTTTTCTACCAGAACGAGTATGAACAACTGGCTGTAAGTTATCCGGCTTTTGAGCTGCTATGTCGTTCGTGTTAAGCGGAGGCGTAGATAAGCGTTGTGATTTGCTGATAGGACAGTATACGTTGGGATCAACGTGCGCTACTTTTAGTCGATCGACGCTGATAGTATCTTGAACACCTCCTTTGTCGATGACGAAATATTTAGGTCGGCGCGAAATAACGCGGTATGGGCCGACGTACGGTGGCTGTAACGGTTTCTTCACCTGCTCAACCCTAACGAAAACGAAGTCACAATATATTAGCACTGGGTAGATTTGTGATGCATGAGTATGTAAACGCGTTGGTTGAGCTCTAAAATGCTTCACAAAGGAGCGTAAACGATTAACATACATTGCTGGGTCTATTCTTACTGCTTCCTTTTGCTCAGCAACAAACTCACCAGGGAGTCGGAGCCGTAAACCATTTCGGCGGTCAAAAAGCCTAAATCTTCTTTCACTGCAGATCGGATCCCCAAAAGTACGAGCGGGAGATAATCTGTCCAATTTTGAGGATTACCGTGAGCAATCAATGCTGCCTTCAGCTGCCGATGGAAACGCTCGACTAAACCGTTGGCACACGGGTGGTAAGCGGTAGTGTGGGTGTGCGTCGAGCCAAGGAGATGGCTAGGGTCTCGAAAGAGTGAAGACTGGAACTGTGGACCGCGATCCGTAGTGATTGTTGTTGGTACTCCGTAATGGGCAATCCATGACTCGAGAAAAGCTTGAGCCACGGTTTCGGAGTGCGTGTCTTTGATCGGGACGGAGATAGGCCAGCGTGTAAAACGATCAATGCATGTGAAAACATACGAAAAATTGTGTGGCGGAGGCCACGGGCCAACAAGGTCTATGTGAACATGGCTAAACCGACTATCAGGACTGGAAAAATAACCGAGAGGAGTAACAGTATGTCGATGGACTTTGGTCTTCTGACTCGCAATACATTCATGAGCCCACCTAGTGATGTCCCTATTCATATTAGGCCACACGAACCTATCGCTGATAAGCTTCCGAGTAGCTCGAATACCTGGATGCGACAAATTATGTAACTGATTGAAAATCACCCAACAGAGCGAAGCCAGGTATAATGGTCTGGGAGAACCTGTGGAGACGTCGCACGTGACACTTTCGGTCGAATTGGATATAGGGAGTTGTTGTAGCTTTAGCGGCGGAAAAGAAGACTGCACAAGTTCAGTATCACTCTTTTGATGTACATCCAGCTCAGATAAGG